GTGCCAGGAGCTGGATTTTTTTTTAACCCCGTTGTGAAACACGGCTGATCTGGGCTGTCCTGCCCCTTCCCAAGTGATGGGTGCACTGGGGTCTGCACACAACCGCTGCTCTGGATCTGTAGCGCCTGGGTGTGGCTGGGGTGGCTTTAGTCCTGCGGCGTCCCGGGCGGGCATGCGTGGGTCAGGACGTGGAAGGAAGGTTTTCAGCGGTTCTTTCAGTCTCATGTGTTAGCTGTGGGGCTGCCTCCCTTCCCCACGGCCGTCTTTGGGTCCTTGCCTCCCCCACTGGCCTCTGCTTCTGCGTTTTCTAGTGAGATTGAAGCATCTCCTGGTGTCCTCAGTGGCTTTAGTCCTGCGGCGTCCCGGGCGGGCATGCGTGGGTCAGGACGTGGAAGGAAGGTTTTCAGCGGTTCTTTCAGTCTCATGTGTTAGCTGTGGGGCTGCCTCCCTTCCCCACGGCCGTCTTTGGGTCCTTGCCTCCCCCACTGGCCTCTGCTTCTGCGTTTTCTAGTGAGATTGAAGCATCTCCTGGTGTCCTCAAGTGTACCCGGCCCTCCCTGATCTCTGGACCCCATCCTGCTGGTGTGGGGATGCACGTTATCAGAGAGCAGGAGGGCCTGGGCTGCCCCTCAGGAGCCAGACACAGTTTTCCGGACTGTGTTGTTGGATACTGAGCACTTCAAGCTTCTTTGGGATTTTTCTCAGCCACCACTGTTTCCCATCCCAGGTTGTGCGTCAGGGTGGTTGGGGGGGAGTGTGTGTGTCCCACTGCAGTGAGCCTGGTACTGCTGTGTCAGTTCCAGGCAGCGCAGCTCTTGCCCTGGGCTGGCAAAGCTGGTGCCCCATCAGCCTGGCTCCAAAGCTTTGGGATCCCCAGGGTGCCAGGGGACCCCTGGCTCCTGTCCTCTCTGGGTGTGTGTGAGGAGATGTTTGCGGGAGCGTGGTCCGTCCCGGCCCCGATGCAGTGCCGTGGGTTGTCTAAGGGGCAGGGCATGTGTACGGGGAGTCATGGTCCCATCATCCTAGGGCTTAGGCCCCAGCTCAGAGGCAGGGTGGTTGAAGGTTCCAGGAAGCCTCTGATGACCCCCTGAAGCTGGTCTATACCCGATCGCCTGCCTCTGCCTAGCCAGGCTGAGGGATGCTCCAACCCAAACCACCTCGCCGAAGGTGAGGTCGCAGTCCCGCAGGAGCGGAGCGTGACCTCGTGCCGGGCTGTCCCCGCTGCAGGCTGAGCTCAGCCCTCCGGAAGCTGAGGACCTGGTGGGCAGGGAAGGGAAGAGAAGGGAGCTGCTTCCCATGGAGGGACCGTGCTGCTGTGATCCCCCTGCCCAGTGGAATAGGGTGGGCAGCCTTGCTTTGGCTGGGGTCAGCTGATGGCAGGTCCCCTGATGGGCCCCTCTGAGCCTGGGCTGTGACCCCAGCCACCGTGGGAAAGCACAGGGTCCCCTGTCCCAACCTGGGGGGCTGTCCTCAGCCCCGGGGGCTGGCTGGGGGGGTGCTTGCAGTGTCCTGAGGTTATGCCTGACCCGCATCCCTGTTTGGGAGATGGAAGGAGGCCGTGTCACCCCATAAATTGGACTCGACTGTGGAAATGTTCAATTAGGCTCCTCCGAAGCAATTAGCCACTCGGAGGCTTTGAAATCCCGGCTAGCGGTGAGTGTTGAGTTACCTCTAGATGGGCAGGCAGATCCCTGGGTGGTGAATGGGTCTGCCTGATTTATAGCGCCGAGGGCTGGTTCAAAGGAAGGCCGGGTTAATTCCTAACCGGAACAGCCGAGCGCCCCGCACAGCCGTCGCGCTCTCAAAGAGCTCCTCAGCTCTCCCCCCGCCCCCGGAGAAGACCCTGTCCCTTTCCTGGAGGGGTCAGGGACATCGCAAATGTGCCCGTGGCGTGAAACGGGATGCGTGGTATGGGGGCGAGGGGAATTTTCTGCCTTATTCCCAGCTTGGGGCATGAAGCCGAGACACCCTCAACCCCTTTGGCAATAGCTTTTGTCCTTCCTTGACCTCTGCAACAGGACTTGGTACAGGGCGTCCCCCCCCCGGCACCCGGGGCCGGGCTGGGGTGCAGCCTGGGGCTCCCCCTACGGCAGGGACCAGTGGGAAAGGAGACCCTGGCTGGCCCCATCTTTGCAGAGAGAGGGGCATCAGGGATGGGAAAGCTGCCATGGAAAGCCAAGGATGGGGATCGAACACCCTGCCCACGCTGCCTCCGCCCTGGGGAGAGTGTCTTCATGGCCCCTCTTCCCAGCCCCTGTCCCCACTGTGCGTGGTGGGACCCACGGGGGTTGTGGGGCAGCAGCTGTGGCACGGAGCGGGGTGCCATAGCCATTCCTGGGTGGGCATGGGGAGAGGTGGGTGGTCTCGCTGCTGCTGGCGGGTGGGTTTTGTGGAGTGAGACACTGCTGCAGAGGCTGAGCAAGGAGTGGGCAAAGCTGGGGTGTGGGGCTGGTGACGGCAGCATGGGGGGCTCTGATGGCAGCTTGTCCCTGCAGCGGGGGCAGCGAGATGCCCGCTGAGATCCGGCCTGAGCCGGCCTCGCCCCTGAGGGGCGGCTCCTGGGCTGCCATGTCCCTGCTTCATCCGCAGATGGGTGTCCTGTGGGGACAGGGTCCCTGCTCCATCCCGTGTGTGGTGGCACAGGTATCGCCCCATGGGGCGCTGCCCTGGGGACCCTCCTACCTGGCCTGGTGGGATTTTTCCTTTGGGACCCTGCAGTCCTCTCTGTTTGCAGGGTCTGAGTGTCCTTGGGGACCCTGTGCCCCCATCCTCGGGGGCTCAGAGGAGCAAGGGGCAGCTGGGGTGTAGCTGCCATGGAGCGCCAAGGTCCCCGTTATCCCCAAAACCCGCCTGCCTGGCTCTGCCTTCTGCCCCACAGCACCTTCTCCCCCGCAGCCCGGGCTGGCTCTGAAAGGACCTTTCTTCAGGGGGGGCTCACCCAGCAGCCCCCCGCCCACCCGCAGATGGGGCGCGGGCAGTTTGCCTTTATTTATCTTTGGGAGGCGAGCGCAAAACCTCTTGCTTTTGCTTTTCCCTTCCTTGACAGCTCAGTCAGCTTTTTCGGGCTGGAAAATTTTGCTAATTAACCCAAAGAGACCGGGAGACTCTTTACAGATGGCTGTGGCTTATCTGTCCCTATCCATTTTGCTTTGCTTCTCAACTTATATATATATATGTTTTCTTTTTAATTCCTAGAAAGTGTTTTGGTGTGTGTTTTTGTGTTTTTTGGCTTTTTTTTTTTTAAACTTAAACATATCCACGGGCTTAGGGAGGCGGCTCTTTCTTTGCGTTTTTAAATGTTATTTGGCGGCTGGGAGGGGGCAGCGCCAGGGCCCGAGAAGAGGGTTTTATTTTCTGCCTCTCCCTCGGGCCTGGAAAAGTGGTCTGAGTTCAAAAAATTCATTTCTTGCCTGAATGAAGCCAGCAATGTGGAAAAATTTCACCATTCAGAGGGGGATGAATGTATGTTTCAACCACACATTAAGTGACATTAGCAAGCAGTGGAGTGCCTAATGTGGCCATTTTTCACAGCAGCCAACAGAGGGGGTGATTAGCATAATTAGTACAGGCAGCCCTATACATATGGAAATAGCAAATGCCTAAATGCCAACACCAGTGGAAATTTATGTCAATGCTGACAGGAGTCTTAGCGGTGAATAGTTCCCAACTGAATCCC